TTCCTCACTATTGGGACAGTTCTAGGCACAGACCGTTTTAATGTCCTTGATTAGGGACGGTCATAGCACAAGCTCTTTTATCAGTGACCCAGGCAGGGAACGGCTTCCGACATCCCGAATTTCCAATGATGTCAACAAGCTGGTTTTAATCCACCCAATAAGCTTCGATCAGTCCGTTTTCAATGAGTGCACATTTAATCCAATTTTCAATGAATGCATATTTCATTCCATTTTTAATTATTTATTATTTCTACCCATTACCAATGATTGCATGATTGCAAACTTTAAGCAAATATTAATAAAGTTTTCGACTGGGCAACAGAAAATAACATGATGTTTAACAGTGATAAATTCCAGGTCGTTAGGTACGGTAAAAATGAGGACCTTAAACATAATACAGGGTACAAAACACAAATAAATCTGCCCAAAATAGGAAAGCAGCATGAAAAGGATTCACGAAAGTGACGTACGGTCCCGTTTTCTGTTTCGGGTCCTCTGGCTTAGGCTGTTATGTCTGGAGAGGAAACGTTCAATTAACGGTTTTCACAACGTTTTGAAACTTAGAACTTCCAGCCCTCCTAACCTACCAGAGGACCCTTAACTTGCTGTTTTGGGAAAAAAATCCAAAATTAAATTTGAAAATAAATTTCCATATTTAATTTCGTCGATATTTGGCCGTAGCGCATACTAGCGAAAAGCGACGTAATTTGTAAGAGGACTGTAATACTAACTAATTGTAGTAGTTAGTATTAGTTATGTTTAGGTTAATGTTATTTTATTATTTTGGCCTAAACTTACTGGTGCTAAGCTCATCGTGCCACAACCAGTCCCCCTCAAATAATAAATAGCATTTTGATATCAAAATATCCGACGGACAAAATATGATCTACTATAAATCGTAGCGGCTCGCAAACATTCACGTTTTCTATATGTGGGTCGCTTGGTTAGGTTAGGTAAGATTCGGTGTTTTAATACACCACTTTATGTCCGTTGTGGCAGCTTGGGAGGCTGAGGTCAAACTACCAAGAACTACAACACACAACCTAGACATAAATAGTTAAATATTCACGTCAGTACAGATGGAAGAGGGAGAAGGACATTTGACAGTGAAAGGACTTAATTTTGACAATTAGCCCAAGTGTTCAGCTCACGTTGTCCAAAATAATTGATCGACGTTCAAATATGAGGAGTGAGGACCCAGGTGGTGTTCCTGGGAGTGATTGAGTCCTGGTCTCTGAGGATAGATGAGGGTGGTGATGTCTGTGTCAAGGTGAGGGTGGTGATGTCTGTATCAAGGTGAGGGTGGTGATGTCTGTGTCAAGGTGAGGGGAGGTGATGTCTGTGTCAAGGTGAGGGAGGTGATGTCTGTGTCAAGGTGAGGGTGGTGATGTCTGTGTCAAGGTGAGGGTGGTGATGTCTGTGTCAAGGTGAGGGAGGTGATGTCTGTGTCAAGGTGAGGGTGGTGATGTCTGTGTCAAGGTGAGGGTGGTGATGTCTGTGTCAAGGTGAGGGTGGTGATGTCTGTGTCAAGGTGAGGGGAGGTGATGTCTGTGTCAAGGTAAGGGGAGGTGATGTCTGTGTCAAGGTGAGGGTGGTGATGTTTGTGTCAAGGTGGCGACATAATGTTTTGGTTACATTTATTAAACAGTTTACAAGCATGAAAACTTCCCAATCAACTGTTGTTATTGTTATAAACAGCCGCCTGGTGCTTCGGAGCTCATTAACTGTTTAATAATCGGAAACAAAGCCGCCAAAGATTGAGAAAAGATGTACAGCTTCGTAAGTGTTTGCGTAAGTGCCTTCGTGAATCAGGCCCCTAATTCGTAACAGGGCCCTAACCTACCAGAGGACCCAAAACAGAAAATGGGACAGTATGTCAATTTCGCGAGCCGCTACCACTTTCTAGTACGACGATTTTTGGCCTCAGGTAAAGTATACGTCAAATTGCGACGTTCTATTAGGAGGACGGGCTGGCCTGCCAACACAATGCCTTCTCCTGAGCCAAGTTATCGAACGGGCGTGGTTTAACAGCGTATTCGAAGTCGACACACGCGTCCCTTCAGCCGCTTGCCAATCTTTCTACTCCTGTTCCTAGTCTCTCCTCGCCTCAGCAACTTGTTCTTATCGTGTTGAACCGCCTTCCGTAAACCTCTTCTACATCATCGGCTGATTCTTCGCCACACACCTTGCTCCGTTAGTCATAACATTTGGGCACCAGCTGGCCCGCCTGAGGTTAAAGTGACCAGGGAACTCTGGCCATTTACCCAATGGAGGAGTAAAGGAGATATTTGTGGAGCGGCGTTTGGAAGATAATGCTAGAGGTGATTTTATTTTTCCCCGCATACTTGAGTGACTGGTGATATGACAGGTATTCACTTTGTGGTCGTGTTCACGCTCAATTACCTAAAATAACATGATATAAAACCACATCAGAATCTAAAAAATTAAATTGAACTTCAGCTGTGATTTGAGCCACATAACAGCGAAGGCTACAATAAGAGGCAGCAATAATATCTGCAGCTCAACTTTACCCACGATGTCGTAAGTTGGAACAATTGGGATTATGACCGGTGGACGACGATACGAAAGATCCTGTCCATGAACTGACAGGATCCGTTGGCGTCCATCTGTCTGCCCGTCAGTCTGTCTAGTATACCATTACCAATAAGACCTCTAATACCATAATACCGTCTTCGCCCTTCGGCTTATATCTTATTGCTATTTAGAACCTGAAATACAACTTAACCAATAGCTGAAGCGAGGTAATTTTGTCCAAATAATTACAATTTAATAAAATGATTTTTATTAAATAAATCGTACATAAATATTTTGAGAAGAACAGGAAAAAAGGTCAAAGCTGATACAGTATAAACACCAGTAGGACATAGTGATAAACTTGAAGCTCTTGTGAGAGACAATGAGAAACTTGAAGCTCTTGTGAGAGACAATGAGAAACTTGAAGCTCCTGTGAGAGACAATGAGAAACTTGAATCTCTTGTGAGAGACAATGAGAAACTTGCGTCATTAGAGTCATAATTATTATTATGTGTGGCCTTAATAATTCTCAAGAGGTTGATAGGCCTTCAGCCCCACACCAAGCTGAAGGCCCACAGGACAATATGTGCAGTTAAAGGTCATCACCACTAACACTTGGGGTCATCACCACTAACACTTGGGGGTCATCACCACTACCACTTGGGGGTCATCACCACTTCCACTTGTTATGCTCGGCCTCTCTCACCAGTGTTAATAGATAATGAGTGATTGTGTGGTACAGGAGAGCCTCGCCAGTGATTGTGTGGTACAGGAGAGCCTCGCCAGTGATTGTGTGGTACAGGAGAGCCTCACCAGTGATTGTGTGGTACAGGAGAGCCTCCCCAGTGATTGTGTGGTACAATAGAGCCTCGCCAGTGATTGTGTGGTACAATAGAGCCTCACCAGTGATTGTCTGGTACAGGAGAGCCTCGCTAGTGATTGTGTTGCACAGGAGAGCCTCCCCAGTAATTGTGTTGTTCATTGGAAACAAAGAGTCAAAACAGCAAGTTAAGGGTCCTCTGGTAGGTTAGAAGAGCAGGAAGTTCTCCTAAGATTTCAAAAGTTATGAAAAACCGTTAATTGATAGTTTTCTCTTCTAACCTAGCCGAGTAAGCCGGAGGACTCAAAACCGAGAACGGGACAGTACGTCACTTTCGTGAGCATATTTCATTTGAAATTACATCCATTTTGGGCCATAGAAGCATACAGTGCTCCTCTAGCACCCCCGGGATAAATATGCCAGGCTGGCATTTCCACCTGAAGTTAGCAGTGACAGGAGGTACGCCTGGATGAAACGTGATCGTCCTCGTGTTTTTGTTGACCTTCATAGACCTTATATGCCCTAGACACGCCTCACCCTACATCTATGAAGGCAGGTCCCATCTCTGCCATACTCCGAGGTAAAGTGGGTGGCATCACATTCAGTAACGCTGACTCTCCTGCGGGCTCCAGGAGATACAAAGTGTATCTTGTCACTTTCTACCTCCATAACTTTGACAACTCCTATGCGAATGATTTATCAGGTGTGTACAGTGCAGAACGCAGCAAGTCTTGGGGAAGCCACTGAACAAGATTAGTAGGGGGGACCCCTAGAGCGATGCGTGTGAATCTGTGCAACATTGCAATGTTGTACGGGTCCTAGACTTGCATGATGAAAGTTGCATGATGATAATGAATGTTGCAAACTGATGAAAGAGTGTAATGATGTAATGTTGCAAAGTGTCTGGGGAAAAAATGAAAAAAATAAGGATCAAAAGGATCGTTCAGTGAAAAAATGGAAGTGTACAGCAGGTATCAGGGTTCGATTTTTAGAGGGGGAAGTGTACAGCATGTAGGAGGATCCCGTTTGAGTGGTAGGATATAAGTTAGTGTGTGCCAAGATGGTGAGGATGAGCAAGGAGGAGGAGGAGTTGCAAAGATGAATCAAAGTATGAATATGTGAGATTAGAATAGATATGAAGAGGAAACAAGACAGGGAGTAAGGAAAAACAGTAGTATAGTAAGACTGAAGGAAAGTTAGCTTACGTACAGTAACTGGAGGAGTCGTTAGCATCTTGTAGTGATTTCCTGCAGAAGCGTGGAGAGGCCTTCGTCAGGCCGACTCCTCTCCTGACGTAACCACAACAAATATCAGCCCATTGCTGTCCCCTTCAAAGCAAACAGCCTCTCTCAATGGAGGTACTAATTCAACTCCATAGATTAATTGATAAAGATTAAGCCACCCAAGAGGTGGCACGGGCATGAATAGCCCGTGCCGGATGGGAGCCAACATTGTGAGAGCATTATCAGGGTGAGGCATGAGCTGGCATCATTGTGACTCAACATCACTTTCTGGATACTGAATCGTTTTGCTCTAGTATACGAGTAATTTTAATGCCTATACCTGTGTATAGTGTAGCAGAGGAATAACTTGTATTCATACTATTGAAGTAAATTAACCGTTTTTTTTTCCTTCTCTTCTGCAGTTAATGTGAGCAACATTGCCATCTTCAACAAGACCTGCCACAACGACTTGCAGTATATGGACTTCTCTGAGTACGAGTACAACTACAGGAAGGAGACGTGGATCACAATCACCTGGAGGGAAGTCATCAAGGTCAGTTTAGCTGCTTTAATTGTCTTGTTACCTTGAGCTCCTGTGTATTGTTCACTAATATGCTTAACAACTCATGCTATTACCAGTGGAGAGGAGAGAGTGGACTTAGTAACTCCACTCTCCCCAGTTGTGTTGTCCGCTGCTATGAACCTCGACTCTTTGTTGTGTGGAGGAGAAAAGATTTGTGAGACATACCTTACCTATTTTGAGGTTACCTTGAGGTGTTTTCGGGGCTTAGCGTCCCCGCAGCCCGGTCGTCGACCAGGCCTCCTCATTGCTGGACTGGTCAACCGGCTGTTGGACGTGGCTGCTCGTAGCCTGACATGTGAATCACAGCTTGGTTGATCAGGTATTCTTTTTAGGTATTATGACAGGTTAGACACCTGTCCAAAACAGTTATCTCCAGTTCCTGGTTCTCTTCAATCATGCCTAGTGCGGTTCCATTTTCTTCCAATATCTTCTATTATGCACTTTACGTACATCCCAAGAGGCTCCACCTCCATTCGTTCTTCTAACTTACCTTCATTCTTCGTGTTACCACAAGTCGGGAGCTCAGGGTAAGGACTCCTTTATTCATCCTTTTCATTCACCTCCTTCTGCTTGACTTTCAGCTCCACCACCAGGTGGAGCAACGTATTGATGGGTACAACTAGTAATTGATATAAAATATATTAGAGAAGTAGACTGTAAAAACTTCTAAATGATATTTTGATTATTTCCCCTGAACATCTTCTGGGAGGTAGAACCAATAATGCTAGGACTACCTATGGCATATAAATGTTAAATAATTTGATGATAATTTTCATAAATAAATTCTAATCTTAGAGTTAGTACACTAACTACAATATTATAATTAAAAACAATGTCTTAGCTGTCAAGGTGTCAATGTGGAACGTGTCAGACAGCCTTCCATAATCAGTCTAAGCCTGTCTGGGCGTGTTGTCGTGGCAAACACGTGATTCACCAGAAAGGATAATCTTCTTCGTAGCTAACTCCACTCTGTGAAAGTAATAGTATGTAATTTCTATATGACTACAAATACTTCCACTAATACACATTGAAAGAGGAGTTTACTGATTAGGGGAAAACACTGGTGTTTTTTGATCATCTCAACACCCTAGAACACAAGATTATGCCATAAAATATGACAATGGGTACTTATCCAACCGGATGTGGTGTCCACAAGGACAGATGAAGTTGGTTTCAAAGTCTGGGACCCGTCAATGCTCGGATGATCCATATACCAAACGATGAAATGACCAACTTCGGGACACAGATCAAGATGGCTTCTCTCTCGTCAAGTCTCCAGGCAAGTGTGCAGGCGACGCGCGCGCCACCTGGACCCTCACTGTGTATGAGCTCGGCATATAAGTCACAATATTGTATTCTGGTTGTCAATGAACACGTAATTTGATACACAATGACGGGGAACAATGTGTGAAAATATGTTTCTAAATCTTTGCTGTAAACAATGTGTTCAAGTGACTTTCCAAATACCCACTTACCTCTACCACGTTTATCAATTTCAATTAATTTGAAACTTTCCTCTGTATTGATATCATATTTCAAGTATACTCCACAGCTGTAAAATAATATCAGGAATGTTTTTGTAAACAAAGATGTATGTATTTAATAATAAAAAAATTGCAAATAAAATAATTCCCTACGAACAAACTCCTCTGTATTGAACAAAATATATAACACATCCTACTGTCCAGAACTCGCACATGATGATTATTCACAAAATAATTATCAAACAAATAACAATTGACTCCCAAATCAAATGGGAATACTGTTAATAATAATACTGTATATTAATAATATCAACGAACAGCTCAAATATTATACAAATAGTAATATTCAAACTATCTATGCAAACTGTACCTCGCTCCTGGTGATGCTAGCACTCGTTCTCACTAGCACCGCTAGCAAGAGCCTATTAGGTAATGTCTGCTAGTCTTGCTGTGGCTCACACCTCACTAGCTGACACTAGGATACACGGCACCCTCACCTGTTGTATTATTGTAGTAATTTATAAAGGTTTATCTTAAAGAACACTTGTGAGAGAAAAAAATCATGGGGGCTTTAAGATAACAAAAAGGGGTCTTTGATAACTGGAAATGGTTTATTACTGGATGAATTCCAGGAGTTAGAATAATAGTCAGGGTAGCCTTGGATAATATTCAGGGTAACCTAGGATAATATTCAGGGTAACCTAGGATAATATTCAGGGTAGCCTAGGATAAATAAGATTGAAGTGATGAATGACACTTGGATGTCTCGGACAGTTAGACATGGATATAATATAATAATGTCGAATTAGGATAACATAGGAAGACGACTAGGATTTATGGAATGAAAAGAAATGATACGAAGATATCTGGGAAAGCAAATGATGGCTCTAGGATAATTAAGTTAGGATAACAGAGGCGAGCAATGGGATACTATAGATAACAAAGGATGACACACACACACACACACTGGTATAAGGCAGAGCTAAGTAAAACATGGCTTCATGCCTTCACTTAGAACATCGTCAATCCCCTCATAGTGAACAACAAGTCCTTATTGAACGCTCACTTCAAACCGCCTCACATTAAACACAAAACTGAACTCTAAATTAGGCTATTTCCAGCTTAGTCCTCCCCTACACACCCTTACTCTGCCACTCTATTTCACTCCTCCAATCCTCATCTAATCTATTTATATTTCTTCTCTAATACTGGAACTGTAAAAAAGTACAATTGATATCTAAGATATCAATATTCACCTTTGAAAGTATTTATGAATTCAAACTAGGAAATAGGAAAAAGACATGCCACCGAGAACAAAGAGGGGAGGGTGGGGCTAGAAAAATATGTACTGGAACTAAGACCTGGAAGGCTGGTACTAAAGGCCGGGAAGGCTGGAACTAAGACCTGGAAGGCTGGAACTAAGGTTTGAAATAAGACCTGAAAGGATGGAACAAAGACCTGAAGACTGGAACAAAGACCTGGAAGGCTGGAACAAAGACCTGGAAGGCTGGAACTAAGACCTGGAAGGCTGGAACTAAGACCTGGAAGGCTGGAACTAAGACCTGGAAGGCTGGAACTAAGGTTTGAAATAAGACCTGAAAGGATGGAACAAAGACCTGGAAGGCTGGAACTAAGACCTGGAAGGCTGGAACTAAGACCTGGAAGGCAGACACCAACTCCTCAATCTGCCGAATTATGTATAACTACGTTTGTTTATTTATTTTCTTTTGTCGTAAGTGGACAGTATATTAAAGTATTTCTTGAGGAACAGTATATTAAAATATTTTATTACGTACTGTATATTAAAGTATTTTATAACGTACTGTAGAAAAATATTTTATAACGTACTATATATTAAAGTATTTTATAACGTACTGTATATTAAAGTATTTTATAACGTACTGTATATTAAAGTATTTTATAACGTACTGTATATTAAAGTATTTTATTACGTACTGTATATTAAAGTATTTTATAACGTACTATATATTAAAGTATTTTATAACGTACTGTATATTAAAGTATTTTATAACGTACTGTATATTAAAGTATTTTATTACGTACTGTATATTAAAGTATTTTATAACGTACTGTATATTAAAGTATTTTATTACGTACTGTATATTAAAGTATTTTATAACGTACTGTATATTAAAGTATTTTATTACGTACTGTATATTAAAGTATTTTTTAACGTACTGTATATTAAAGTATTTTATAACGTACTGTATATTAAAGTATTTTATTACGTACTGTATATTAAAGTATTTTATAACGTACTGTATATTAAAGTATTTTATTACGTACTGTATATTAAAGTATTTTTTAACGTACTGTATATTAAAGTATTTTATTACGTACTGTATATTAAAGTATTTTATAACGTACTGTATATTAAAGTATTTTATTACGTACTGTATATTAAAGTATTTTATTACGTACTGTATATTAAAGTATTTTTTAACGGACTGTATATTAAAGTATTTTTAGCAGACTGTGTACCATAGGTAAATATGAGTTTCACATAATTCCACAGTGGGGAGTTTACAGTGTTAGTATTAACTGGAATAGAGCAGGATTAATACGTGCTTATTAAAATAATTCAAATATAATTTTGATATGCATTTATTTAATTAACTTATTCAATTTCCTGCTCTATCTGTTTCCTTACAAGTAAATAATTCTTAACATCTGTTTAGTGTCTGCGTATCCCAGTACCTCGAGTAACCTCATATGTCGACTACCTTACCTTGAGGTGCTTCCGGGGCTTAGCGTCCCCGCGGCCCGGTCGTCGACCTGGACTAGGGTCAACCTCGTAGGTAAAATGGCTGTTTTCTGCTCACTGCTGCTCGGCGCTGCGTCTGCCGGCAGTTTGGTCGTTAGTTGGAAAGAACACAAATTTAATGCCACTAATTCACTTATAACTAATGAAAGTTGGATATTAAAGTATCATTACTTACCTGTGATTGTTGGTAATGTACTTACGTTTACTTAGTAAGTTTATGTATGAGGTGAAAGGAAACGCACCCAACTGTTTCTGTCTTGCCCGGGGATCGAAGCCGGGATACTGGCTTGTGTGGCAGCGAGGAGATTGCGCCCCATTACCCGTAACAGGTGACGACAGGTGACGAATCTTCTAATCCTGAGGATTCCTTATGGACCCTCTTGGAGGGTCGGAACCTCCGAACCCGGGGTTCGGATCCCACACACACTACATTATTGAGTGTGGAGTCATTACACCCGCCAGACCTGCCCCTGTGAGCGATGGTGCGTCTCAGTGACCTCATTCACGCCCTCGTCTTCCTGACGATGTACTTATGGTCTACCCGTTCACCAGTGCGGACTGCTGATCTCATGATCCTGCGTCCTTCACCATCCTGCCTGATGGTCCGGCATCACTCACCATCCTGCCAGATGGTCCGGCATCACTCACCATCCTGCCAGATGGTCCGGCATCACTCACCATCCTGCCAGATGGTCCGGCATCACTCACCATCCTGCCAGATGGTCCGGCATCACTCACCATCCTGCCAGATGGTCCGGCATCACTCACCATCCTGCCTGATGGTCCGGCATCACTCACCATCCTGCCAGATGGTCCGGCATCACTCACCATCCTGCCTGATGGTCCGGCATCACTCACCATCCTGCCAGATGGTCCGGCATCACTCACCATCCTGCCAGATGGTCCGGCATCACTCACCATCCTGCCTGATGAGGATATATATATATATATATATATATATATATATATATATATATATATATATATATATATATATATATATATATATATACTTGTTTACCCTCACATATCTCTCTGTTGACACAAACTGTGCAAATGTTGACAATGTATTAGGGGGTAGATGTGCCTTAACACATTAACGATGGAAACATAAGTTATCGAAACATGACGGTGGTCTGGCGGATTTGTTAAGTCTGTTGATTGACAGTTGAGAGGCGGGACCAGAGAACCGAAGCTCAACCCCCGTAAGCACAACTAGGTGAGTACACTTCTCATCAGAAAACACTCTTGCTCTGGATTTCAGAGTTCCGGTGCATGTTAGGCCATGGTGGGTGGTGGTGGTGGTGATGACCATGATGGGTAGTGGTGATGATCACCATGATGGGTAGTGGTGATGATCACCATGATGGGTAGTGGTGGTGGTGATGACCATGGTGGGTAGTGGTGGTGGTGATGACCATGATGGGTAGTGGTGATGATCACCATGATGGGTAGTGGTGATGATCACCATGATGGGTAGTGGTGGTGGTGATGACCATGGTGGGTGGTGGTGATGATCACCATGATGGGTAGTGGTGGTGGTGATGACCATGGTGGGTAGTGGTGGTGGTGATCACCATGATGGGTAGTGGTGGTGGTGATGATCACCATGATGGGTAGTGGTGGTGGTGATGATCACCATGATGGGTAGTGGTGATGATCACCATGATGGGTAGTGGTGATGATCACCATGATGGGTAGTGGTGGTGGTGATCACCATGATGGGTAGTGGTGGTGGTGATCACCATGATGGGTAGTGGTGATGATCACCATGGTGGGTAGTGGTGGTGGTGATCACCATGATGGGTAGTGGTGATGATCACCATGATGGGTAGTGGTGATGATCACCATGGTGGGTAGTGGTGGTGGTGATCACCATGATGGGTAGTGGTGATGATCACCATGGTGGGTAGTGGTGGTGGTGATCACCATGATGGGTAGTGGTGATGATCACCATGATGGGTAGTGGTGGTGGTGATGACCATGGTGGGTGGTGGTGATGATCACCATGATGGGTAGTGGTGGTGGTGATGACCATGGTGGGTAGTGGTGGTGGTGATGACCATGATGGGTAGTGGTGATGATCACCATGATGGGTAGTGGTGGTGGTGATGACCATGGTGGGTGGTGGTGATGATCACCATGATGGGTAGTGGTGGTGGTGATGACCATGGTGGGTAGTGGTGGTGGTGATCACCATGATGGGTAGTGGTGGTGGTGATGATCACCATGATGGGTAGTGGTGGTGGTGATGATCACCATGGTGGGTAGTGGTGGTGGTGATCACCATGATGGGTAGTGGTGATGATCACCATGGTGGGTAGTGGTGGTGGTGATCACCATGGTGGGTAGTGGTGATGATCACCATGGTGGGTAGTGGTGGTGGTGATCACCATGATGGGTAGTGGTGATGATCACCATGGTGGGTAGTGGTGGTGGTGATCACCATGATGGGTAGTGGTGATGATCACCATGATGGGTAGTGGTGATGATCACCATGGTGGGTAGTGGTGGTGGTGATCACCATGATGGGTAGTGGTGATGATCACCATGGTGGGTAGTGGTGGTGGTGATCACCATGATGGGTAGTGGTGATGATCACCATGGTGGGTAGTGGTGATGATCACCATGGTGGGTAGTGGTGGTGGTGATCACCATGATGGGTAGTGGTGATGATCACCATGATGGGTAGTGGTGATGATCACCATGGTGGGTAGTGGTGGTGGTGATGACCATGGTGGGTAGTGGTGGTGGTGATGACCATGGTGGGTAGTGGTGGTGGTGATGATCACCATGATGGGTAGTGGTGGTGGTGATGATCACCATGGTGGGTAGTGGTGGTGGTGATGATCACCATGGTGGGTAGTGGTGGTGGTGATGATGACCATGGTGGGTAGTGGTGGTGGTGATGACCATGATGGGTAGTGGTGGTGGTGATGACCATGGTGGGTAGTGGTGGTGGTGATGACCATGATGGGTAGTGGTGATGATCACCATGATGGGTAGTGGTGGTGGTGATGATCACCATGGTGGGTAGTGGTGGTGGTGATGATCACCATGGTGGGTAGTGGTGGTGGTGATGACCATGGTGGGTAGTGGTGGTGGTGATGACCATGGTGGGTAGTGGTGGTGGTGATGACCATGGTGGGTAGTGGTGGTGGTGATGACCATGGTGGGTAGTGGTGGTGGTGATGACCATGGTGGGTAGTGGTGATGATCACCATGATGGGTAGTGGTAGTGGTGATGACCATGGTGGGTGGTGGTGATGATCACCATGGTGGGTAGTGGTGGTGGTGATGACCATGGTGGGTAGTGGTGGTGGTGATGACCATGGTGGGTAGTAGTGGTTCGCCTATTCAACTTGTCCTCTTACAAAGAACGTCGCATTTCGACCGTATGCGTCACATAAGACAAAAAATTGTCGTACTAGAACATGTAAGCGGCTGGCGAAAGTGACGTACTGTCACCACCACCATGACACCACCACCACCAACATGACACCACCATCACCACCATGACACCACACAGAGCGAGGCACCAGCACTCACAAAGCACACTTCCACACTCATCACATTTAAATGCCCCCAAAACAAAAAATCACGAAATGAAATTCTGGCTGCGACTGCGGAAAATAATAGCGGAGACTTGAGAGTTTTACCGCGTGCGGGAGGGCAATTGTGGGTCATTGTCGTCCCCGTATGCCCTGACGTCGTCCAGGAAGTGAAGTCTTTACGCTCGTATCTCTGTGCTCTCTTGAGGAAAGTAGAGGTCTCAAGATGATGGCGCTTGTGTCCTGTCTGTAGAGGCCCGGCGGCCGCTTCCCTGAGAGATCCATGTCCCTGTAACACATTGTAGCTGCTTCATCACCCAGGGTCTCTGTCCCTAGGCTCTCTGGTCCCCCAGGGTCTCTGATCCCCCAGGGTGCCTGATCCCCCAGGGTCTCTGGTCCCCCAGGGTCTCTGGTCCCCGAGGCTCTCTGACCTGTTGAAGACTCTTCTCATCAAACACGGAGCTCGTGAAGCTCTAAATATAATAAGAAATTAAATGTGTAAATATTTAGGATGCTTTTTCAGAGTTGTGTGTGTATGTAAGATGACACAAACGGTGATTATTGTGCGAGTCTTCTCTAGCTTTCTTATGTTCTGCACTTGAGAAGGAAGTAGGAAAATCTTCTCTCCAAAAGTTTATTTTAGTTATATTATGGTCCGTCACTAAGAGATGCGTTTCGTCGACCCCTGTCAACATTATGAACGGCAGAGTAGTGATGAATGCAGTATGGTTGAAGCAGCAGAATATATAACCTGGAGTGAGGTGACGAGTCACGTGGACGAGTGGGCCCCGCTGCGGCTTACTAATCTCCGCTGCTTGGCAGAGAAGTCAGCCAGAGGCTTAGGGCCCACGCAGGAATATACCTGCGGGGATGGGGAAGGGGGGGGGGGGGAATGAACATGATATATCAATGAACAAATGCACAAGAGCCTTGATGAGGGTTCGAATCTATGTGCTCTCCTGTGTGTTAATGAAGACTGTGGCAGTATGGTGGATGTCCAGTCTTGGTCTCGAAAGTGGCAGAGTATAATTGTGTCAGCTGGCTCTTGATGACTGACTGAATATGCTTGATGTCCAGGGTCTTACTGGTGTCCAAGGTCTCGCTGATGTCCAGTCTTCCATTGTTGCTGCATCTGTGGGTCATCTTAGTTGTTTGTCAGGATGTCTCAGGTGTTGGTCTGGTTGTGTGCGGAGACCGTATGTTGCCTTGCTGTTTGTGCGCTGTAAGCCGGCTTGAACGAGGTGTTGTTGTCTTGCCTATATACTGAGATCGTTTGGGCTGACCGTCCCCAAGTGGGCATGTGAAGGCATAGACCACAGTCCTCTCCAGGCGTTTTGTTTGGTGTCGGGAAGAGTTCTTGAAGCAGAAGTTAGCGATCTTCTTGTTCTTATAGCATATAATTAACTCAACCTTGTGGCTGGTCTCACGTTTCTATCAATAATCTCCTTCAGGACTTTTCTCTCCCCAGTTTTATTGGCCGTAGAATGGACGTTCTTGTGTAATATTTTAGTGTGAGGAACCACTAAAGTTTTTTTGGCTCTGTCCTCCAGCAATATATAACAAGAAGTGAAAAGATACTTATAATTATGTATTGTTAGCGGATAGATAAGTGTGTTAGTGAACAGATAAGTGTTAGTGGACTGATAAGTGTGATATTTTAAAGGACACGAGTATTAGTGTGAGGAATGTATCAATATACATATTAATGTTGTTTTAAACAGTTTATCTATACACATGTACTATAAAGGAACAATTTAACATATTCAGATACTTTTAAAATGTTACAGACAGCCACATTTACCATGAATATAAATACTAATGAGTATTGATATATTGCAGATTATGGCATACGTGATTGTTTTTCTGGTGTCCCTGGTTGGGAACCTGCTGGTGATCCTGGTTGTGTATTACAACAATCACATGCGCACCACCACCAACCAGTACCTGGTGAACCTGGCGCTGGCCGACCTCCTGGTGACCGTCATCTGCATGTGGGTACACATCGTGCGCCACCTCTCATACCCGCACTACGTCCTCCCCGCCCTCGTCTGCAAGCTTGACGGCTTCGTCCAGGGTAGGTGAAGTCTCTGTCTCAGTGTCTCTCTCTCTCTCTCTCTCTCTGTCGGGACGTGATGCTGTAGTGTAGCAATACTGGGCCAGGGTGGTGTGTGTGTGTGTGTGTATGTGGCTCTCACTCACATAAGCACAATAAAAATGCCGTTCTGTTCCAGTTCTAAGTATGAACATATCAGCAACAGTTCTGGGTTCAACAAGCACTTTTAACTCCTTGAGACAAGTGTATCTGTTCAGGAAGTCCTGAACCTCGTCTATCGACGCGATAGTCTGTTTAGCTGCCATATCGAGTTATAGTATATACAAAATTTAGCAATAACTACTCTAAATACCTACCCCCTCAAGTTACCTTAAACAAGTCACTACATCCCATGGTCAATGGAGAGACTGTACAAGGGGAAAGGATCCCGCTGGGGATGACATTAATGTTATGAACTCCTCCGTAACTCGAATCTTTTAAACTCTACGATCCTTCTCAAGTCCAGAGATCCCCAACTTTAGTGGAAATGTTGTGTAATGTTTAAGGTAAAAAATTAAATTGCACTTCAAATGAACCGTTTTTATCATCTAAAACTACCGTTATATGCAAGCTTTTAAAGAGGTCGTCCAGCGCAACATTAGCCCTTCAAACTAGCTGCAGTTATGGTGACGTCTTCAAGTGCCCCTACTAGCTCACTCCAACAGTGAGTGAAGTCCTCAGCGCTGCACTAGCCCTCTGGCTACTACGTCTCAAGGTCGACCAGTAGACTGCGTCTCTCTCTCTGCTTCACTCCCGACTGTCGCCAGTCACCGGTATCTCATCACCTCGCAGAACAACAGACCACAAGATTGGAAACTGATATTAATGGGAGGGTCAACTGTTTAATTCGGCTCCGGGATCATAGATGGCGCCGAGGTCCGTCACAGCCGTCCACTATAATACCGGCGAAGCCTCAGCTAAAATGAATTATCGTAGAGGATATAAGTAGTCTTGTCTCAGTGGTATAGAGGTGTGAGGAGGGTGGGAGTAGTGTTAAAGAGGTGCCGTTGGGAGACCAACCCGAAGGTATATTACATGTTCTGGGATAGAGATGAGCACAGCAGGGTACCCATCTACGGTGTATCTATACCTATAGGAGAATGTTTGTTTATGTCTCTCTCTGCGAGGTGTGAGATGACAGATGACTACGGTTAGCCTCGCAACACTTTTCATGGTTAATTGTGATTGTACTGTGAGTGTCATGGGATGGTCCACCACCACCTCAAACCTCTACGGGACATAATTTGGATATTATCGTAAATATTTGACAAAAAATCGACAAATTTGAAAAAAATATTTAGAAAAATCTGTTCGCTTCTGGCAGCAGCATAGTGTTGTCCTCATGTCTCTATTATATTAATATAATTATGAGTAATATAATTACCGTCCCCGCGTCAGAAATGAGGCTGGTGCATCATGTGTCCCAGCGGCAATGCGTAATTTCGCTTCAAGTCTCGTATTTCTTTTAACAAATTACATTTCTTTACATTACATTATTATTCTGGTGGAATTTGCTGTTTTTGCCACAGACGTGGCCACACATTTACAACCAACCACCGTCCCTGGGACTCACCACCGTCCCTGGGACACACACACCACCGCCCCTGGGACACACTCAGACACAGTCAGTCTAAACTGTGATGACCTGGAACGCGCTTTACCTATCACTTGCATAATTTAGTGTTTATCTTCCCCCAACACAACTACAAGTGCTGTTCGTTAATGTCTATCACAGTGAAGATAATGATCGAGAACTGAGTTGTGTATAAATGTTTGTAAAGTGTCCTGTAATGAGTGAAACATTGAGTGTGTTCTCTAACTCTCATCTATAACCTGCCACGACACACGAGTGAAACATTGAGTGTGTTCTCTAACTCTCATCTATAACCTGCCACGACTCACAATATTTCCAGAAAAATATCGACATTAACGAAATTTGGCGTGATTGGTAACTCTGGAAGATGAAGAAGAAGATGAAGATTAAGCCACCCAAAAGGTGGCACGGGCATGAATAGCCCGTAAGTGGTGGCCCTTTTGAGCCATTACCAGTATCAAGAGCTGATACTGGAGATCTGTGGAGGTGCGACTGCACCTTGCGTGACGGGAGATGTCTCCCGTCGGTATGGTAACTGGTTATTGAGTTGGTTGATATATAACTCTGGTTATATCACCTCACCCGCATTTTGGGTGAGGTGATAAGCTACAACAGTTTTGGATGAGGTGAACAAAACTTTCAACACAGGATAGAACACGAAACAATGGGTATTGAAGGTAAGAATGGAAGTAATTGCAGAGGGCCTATTGGCCCATATTTCTTGATGCTTCTATATTGGAGCGGAGTCTTGAAGTGGGTAGAATATAGTTGTGCATTATTTGGCTGTTGATTGCTGGTGTTGACTTCTTGATGTGTAGTGCCTCGCAGATGTCAAGCCGCCTGCTATCGCTGTATCTATCGATGATTTCTGTGTTGTTTGCTAAGATTTCTCTGGTGATGGTCTGGTTGTGGGAAGAGATTATATGTTCCTTAATGGAGCCCTGTTGCTTATGCATCGTTAAACGCCTGGAAAGAGATGTTGTCTTGCCTATATACTGAGTTTTTTGAGGCTTACAGTCCCCAAGTGGGCATTTGAAGGCATAGACGACGTTGGTCTCTTTTAAAGCGTTCTGCTTTGTGTCTGGCGAGTTTTTCATGAGTAGATTGGCCGTTTTTTTATAATAAATTAAATGTCTATAATAATTAAATGTCTGACATCAGGTACCTGATGTCAGACATCTGCAGGAGCTGAAGGAGGCATTTGAGCAGAATTCTGTGTTGCGTTTCACTTACGAGATGGAGAAGGATGGGAAGCTGCCCTTTCTAGATGTCCCCATCTCGCAGGATGGTTAGTCATACAGGGCCATATGTTCAGTAGCCTGCACTGGCAAATTTTGGGTACACTGTGAGGATATTTGCCAGTGCAGGCTACTAAACATATGGCCCTGTATGATTAACCATCCTGCAAGATGGGGACATTCGGAAATAATTTTCTGGTGAAAAAGTCTTCGGACATCTGAACGAATATTTTACACTTGACCAAAAGTGAATCTCTTAGAATCGGGTTGGGGGATGTGATTAATTAATTATATTTCTTAAGTCATTTAACTTAGGCCTACTTCTACCAGCCTATATCCGTCCCGTACCCGAGGCCATCTACACTACAAATTTCGGTAAGACTAGGCCCTACTGTGTAGCATCCACCCTCGAACAGACAGACTGACATTCTCATTTATAGTATAGATTGTCAACAACAGAAGTGCCAGGACTGAGCCAGGCAATCTACTTACAATGATTTCTTATTCGACGTTAACTCCATTTATGTTAACTCAGTTTTCATTGAAGTAACCCAAGACGTAACCCAGTTTAGGGTAACTTCCTCCACCCCGCCAATATCACGTCCCTCTAACTTCCTAAGGAGTTTCTAATGAGACATTGTATCAAAGACTTTGTTAAAGTCAAGGTATAGAATGTCTCACTCCTTCCTGCTGAGAACTGCTTCATTACACAAACACCCAGCGCTTAGGTTCGAACCCTCATCAGAGCTCCTGTGGATTTGTTAACTGTTTCATATATACTGAAAAAGATTGAGGGCAAACGTGTTACACTTAGTCAAACTACATTGTGAATCTCTTATTAATCAAAGTGTTTCAAGATGTAAACTAATAACTTCTGCGATTATCAATAAAAGTTATTTTCCTGTAACAGACGTTAAACAAATTGGACAATAGTTCGACACAAGTGATCTTAACAAGCGACACCATATATACAACCCTCCATGATACTGGCATACCTCTTGACTATTATTATTATTATACATGCAAAACAAGAGCTCACTAAACTCTTCTTGTCAAGGAGAGCTCAGGCTTCAGAGCAGACTGTCAAGGAGAGCTCTGGCATGACAGTGGGTTGTCGTTAACAACCCATGAGATAACTGGGTTGTCAAGAGAACTCTACCATGAGTCTGGGTTGTCAAATAGAGTTCAGGAATGAGAGTGGGTTGTCAAGGAATTGCACATGGGTTAACGTAATTTATTGAATTCTGTCCTGAGGGACGTGTTTTATGATCAGTTAAACTCACCGGGATAAACAAATTCACAAGGGCCGTGACGAGGATTCGAACCTGCGTCCGGGAGCATCCCAAGGGATAGTCCATCCTACCCGGGATAGTGAACTTGACGCTCTCACGACAGTGCAGCCTATCCTGTAGTCCGCCTTCAGTCTCGCCTCTAGTCTTGGCTATTGAAATACTTAAGCTTTAATACCATTATAAACTTTTCAGGTCATTTCATTACAGCAAATCCTACATGTTTTTTAATAAAAAGTTCTAAAATTGAAAACTCTCTTTGCAAGACCCCCTTTTGTGAAAGACTGGTTCAGGGGTAAAGCCTGGATGACGATGCTGTAATTAAGCTGCCATGGAACATATAAAATAGTGGAGCAGAATAATTTAAGGGGGGGGGTTAGAGGGGGGCCGGAGGTGATTGCCCGGGGTAACAGATTACAGTTTTAGCATGTGGAGCTGGGCAGAGTGCTCACGGATGTACTGTTAGTGATTAATATCCAAGAAGCGAAGAGACCCGGGTTGTAGCTCCGGCCAGAGACGCTAGGACACTGTTCCTTCCCCCCCCCCCCCACTCAGTCACTGTTTCAACAGTTCCCCTAACAGCAACTGGGGACCTGGTTGTGGTGCATACAGCGGATACTTGGCTATGATGAGTAGTGTGTGACTTGCTTGAGTAAACAGTGTAGTGGAGTTAAGCAAGTCACTGGATCAATTCCCAGACCGCACAATCAATCAACTCATTAACCGCACAATCATAATGATCCAAGACCACTCACTTTCCAGCCGACCAGACAATAATATCGATATTTGACAATAATACAAGAGAATAAATAATATCATCAAGAATATTTGAAAGTTTGGACACCCAATATATTTATATGA